GCCACGGAACTGTACATTTTAAAATGGTAAATTTTGTTATATATATTTTATCACAATTAAAAAATAAATATATATTTTAAAAGCTACACACATAAGTAGAGCCATTCAATTTGTAATCCAGAGCCTTAGCATCCTGGAGGGTGTTAGAAGATGCCCAAGGAGACCAGTTTCCTAGAAGAGTGGCAGTGGGTACTGGTGGGCGAGCTGTCCAGGCACTCTGAGTGACAGACCAGAGAGGGGGCTGATTATTGTCACATGGCAGAAACATTCCACTTTCAGCATTGCTTCATAGCTTCATTTTCCAGTCACTAGTTAGGTCCTCAGCATTCCTTAGAGACTTCAGTGCTACTGTCGTAAACATGATAAATTCTCCAAGGAGGAAGGTCCTGCAAGGAGCAGGACAGTCTCCAGAAACAGAAGTAATAGACATTTTCTGTTTCACAGACAGGAAGGGTGGTAGGAATTGAGAGAGAAGTGGTCAGACCTGAGGGGAGCACAAAGGGATCAAGAGCCGTGACTTGACTTCCCCTGCTGGGGAGTGCAGACAGAACAAGTCGACTGGGTGGGACCCCTGGTTTCAGACCTCAGATGAAATTACTACGCATCCTCTAATCCCTAGGTATGCTGAGCCTGGCCATAGCCTAAAATAACTGTCTCTCACATGTATGGCTTTTTAAAATTTCTGCAGACTGTCGAAATTAATGACATGCAAATTTATTTTGAAAAATACAGAATTCATAGGGGCTTTTGATCAGGCTGAATCAGGGTACTATAATTCCCAGCATGTGTAACTCCCAGCATTACATTTTTCTTTACCATGGAAAGGAGCACTCAGAAAATGTGAGAATCGCAGGGCTAGATATGTGCACTCTGATGTTGGCTACTATCAAATTGTCCATCACTCAAAACAAGGAGAACATCATGAATGTTTTTATGATCTTAGCAATCAACTTCATCTGATGGTGACACCTGGTAAATACTGTTCTTAGGCAGCTAAGCAAGGAATTCAGTGATCTGATTCATCCCACACCTTCATAATCATGGATCACCAAAACACATTTTGGTGGCACAGTGTAAAATCCTTAACCAATTCCACCTGCCAGTAGTTCAGCCCAACCCTACTGCCTACACATCCCCCCACCCCCATCAGCCTCTCCTTGGACCCACATGTAGTTGAAAGTCAGTCTCATTTACTGCAGGTGTTTCTGGGCTGCCAGTGTGCCAACAGGGCCATCTTTCTTGCGTCCTCTGAATATTTTGGAGGTAGACACTAGAACAACACCAATAAGAGCTTCCATGTGCCAAGAAGTGTACTAGGCATATCATGTGCTTGTTTTCTAGTCACAAAAGCTCTAGGAGGTATCTCAGAGTCAGAATACAAGTCCGTCTGTGAGGTGCAAAGCCCTGGATAATACTCATGATCATAATTTCAAGGGGCACCTGGGTGGCTCCGTCAGTAGAGCATGTGACTCTTGATCTTAGGGTTGTGAGTTTGAGTATAGGGATTACTTAAAAAGAAATCATTTACTTAAAATAAAAATTCATAGGGGTGCCTGAGTGGCTCAGTCATTTAAGCATCTGACTCTTGATTTTGGCTCAGGTCATGATCTCAGGGTCATGAGATCTAGCCCCAAGTCAGGCTCAGTACTCAGCAGGGAGTCTGCTTAAGATTCTCTCCCTCTCCCTCTGCCCCTCTGCCCCCCGTACGTTCATGCGCTCTCTCCCTAAAATAAGTAAATAAATCTGTTTAAAAATCATAATTTCCTAAGCGTGTGGAGACTAAATGCTGAAGCACCTACTATTTGAGCTGAAGTAAAGGCATGACCCCGAACAGATGCTCTTACCGGACAAATTAAAACCTTCTTTCAAACCTTCCATTTTTCCCAGTTAATGTATGCTGGCTGCCCACCATAGGCCAGTGTCTGCGATCTGGCTGGGGACTTTGGGGAAACCACCAAAGGCATGTGGCCAGAAATGGGGTGCAGCCAGGATCAAAGCAGCAAAGTCACCAAGTGACAGTGCAAGGCTTCAGGCCAGAAGGCAGCCCTGTGTTTAGGTGTGCGACAGAGAAAAGACTCTCATCAAAGACCTTTACTGTTATTCTCCCTGATAGTATTATTTGGCTTTACTTGTGCACCCAGATAACAGGCAGACTCAGTAATGTCATTTTGAAAGAGAAAGACACAGTTCATAGAGGCCTAGAACAAATAAATTTCTGTGACGAGGAAGAAGGGTTTGCAAACATTTAAACTAGAGTTCATTTTAAGGAGTATTTCGCATGTTTCTTTTTTGAGGAGACCATTCCATGACTAAATCAGTAGTAGCTGTAGATAAACAACAGTGAGTTTGAACTTGACATCTATCCCTATTTTGTGGCAGCTCCCCAAGCATAGCTGTCTTTTGTGATACTTCAAATACAGGCTTTTCATCTATCAGTGAGTGGTTTCTTAACAAAAGAAATATAAAAATCACCTAGTTGTAGGAATTTGCCACTCCCCTCCCCACCGAGAGCCATCATCCTGTATTCAACATTGAGCCAAATAATTGGTACTATAACAGCTATATTTGAACCATGGTCAAGTATGTCAAGTGGCACGTTCTCACAACGATGTTAAGGAGACCCTTGGAAAATCCCCTCCTTGGGCAGCTAGTAGGTGCTTCAGCATTTAGTCTCCACACGCTTAGGAAATTATGATTTTTAAACAGATTTATTTACTTATTTTAGGGAGAGAGCGCATGAACGTACGGGGGGCAGAGGGGCAGAGGGAGAGGGAGAGAATCTTAAGCAGACTCCCTGCTGAGTACTGAGCCTGACTTGGGGCTAGATTGGATTGGATAGTGTCTCCCCAAAATACATATCTATCTGGAAGCTCAGAATGTGACCTTATTTGGAAATAGGGTCTTTGCAGTTGTAATTAATTAAGAAGAGATCATACTGGATTCACCTGGGCCCTAAATCCAATCACTGGTGTCCTCATAAGAAGAGGAGAGAGGACGCTCAGAGAAGAGAAGCCCAGGTGAAGACAGAGGCAGACATGAGTGCGACGCATCTATAAGCCAAGGATGTCCAGCGAGCACCAGAAACTAGGGGAGGAGCATACAACACATTCTCTCTCAGAGCCTCTGGAAGGAACCAGCCATACTGACACCTTGATTTTGGACTCTCAGCCTCCAGAACTGTGAGAGAACCAATTTTTCTTGTTTTAAGCTGCCTGGCCTGCGATAATTTGTATACTTCAGTATACAGGGCCAAAGATTTCCCCCACCTCCCATATGTTAGTTTTTCCTTTTATGAGGAAGCCAATGGGGTTGACAATTGTGTCTTTAGCTCTCAGGGAAAGTAAATGTGGGCCTCAGTGGGCCTCATCCCAGAAAATAAGCTGTATATCATCAATGAGAAAGGAGACGATGTATTGGTAAATTCCCTGCTAAAAAATTCTTCTGTGTTTAAAAATTATATTGGCTTCCTTTGCATATTTCTCTAAAAGAATGAGGAGAACCCTGAGAGTCTCTCCTCAATCAGTGAAGGGAGGGTTGTGATCAGATGTCACTGTGGACCACACTTTCTGACCTCAGTCTCCCCCACTTCTTACCCCACACACATACCAGTTGCTGGAACAGGGACACAGCTATCCCCACAGGGCTGGCTGTGGGCTGTGAGCCACAGGCAGAGCCCCTCATTGCCAAGGGACTGCTACCTCCCCCCAAGCGTGGGAGCACTTGAGCAGTTAAAGAACCCACGTCGAGCAGAGGCCTGAAATCCTGCAGATCACATATAAATGCCACTCAGCTGGAGAGTGAAAGCATCCTGCCTGTCTCTTGGTGTCTTGCATTTTACATCTCATCTCAATTTAACTAATCAAAATATTGTGGCCTGCCCTAAATGACTCAGATTTAAAAATTGTGCAAACAACTGGGGGAGGGAGGCAAAGCGTTGCACACGTGCCCTGGGTCACAAGCACATAGGGACTGGCAAGCCTGCAGGGGTGATATATCAAGTAAATAATCCTCACTTTATAGCTAAAGAGCTCTTGGCTACAACCTTTACAATAGGACATAAAACAGTGTCTGCTGAGCCAATAATTTGGGCTTCTTTTTAATATGCCTACATGCCAAAAACAAAAACAGACCAAAGAACAAACAAAACAAAACGACAATAAAAACCCACCATGTTGATTATCTAAAGACCCATAATCAGAATGCAAACTGGTACAGCCACTGTGGAAAACAGTATGGAGGTTCCTCAAAAAGTTAAAAATAGAGCTCCCCTATGATCCAGTAAGCACACTACTGTGTATTTACCCCAAAAATACAAAAACACTAATTCAAAAGGATACATACACTCCTGTTTATTGCAGCATTATTTACAAGAGCCAAACTATGGAAGCAGCCCAAGTATTCATCATAGATGAATGGATAAAGAAGATGTGGTATATATACAAATGGAATATTATTCAGCCATAAAAAAGAATGAAATCTTGCCATTTACAACAACATGGATGGAGTTAGAGAGTATAATGCTGAGCAAAATAAGTCAGAGAAAGACAAATTCCATATGATTTTATTCATATGTGGAATTTAAGAAACAAAACAAATGAGCAAAGGAAAAATAAAGAAGGACAAACCAAGAAACAAACTGATGTTTCCCAGAGGGGAGTGGGTAGGGGGATTGATGAATTAGATGATGAGGATTAAGAGTACACTTATCATGATGAATGCTGAGTCATGTATAGAATTGTTGAATCATTATCTGGTACATCTGAAGATTATAACACTGTATGTTAATGATACTGGAATTAAAATTAAAGATTTAATAAAAAATAAAGACCCACAATCAAAATACTTAACTCTGGGCTAAGAACAAAAAGGTACATTATTGATGATGATTGGTGAGCCTTTGCATTCAATAACTTAAACAGGTTTCATTTCCTTGGATCAAAATGTTCTGCCCTAGAGAAACTGATGCCAATTTCCTCTGCCTTGTCTTCCTCTCCCCCCAGGTTGGTTGACAATTTCTGTATCTGTGAAGGGTACAGTGTGCCTCGCTGCCTGATGTATGAGATTTATGTGGAGACCTGCGGTCAAAATGCTCAGGACCAAGTCAACCCAGCCACATTTGGGAAGGTAGGTTGTGAAGATAAAAATACAGTACTCACTGAGAAAAAAAAAAAAATATGCAAGTGAATTGATGAAGAAATATTAAAATTTATTTTGGTCTAATGAGTTCTCAGTGGGAACAATTGCCTTCACTCTGGGAAGCCAACCAGATGGCTAATATACTCCATCTTCCTTGAAAATCCATTCTGTCCTTTGTCCACACTTCATAGTGAAGGGCCAGGAAAGGTAAGGAATGGGTGGTGTCTAAGAACGTACAACTATGGCAGCTCCAAATATTCCAAAAACTCAGCCAGGTTTTCTGGACCATTATTCCCTGCATAGAAATGCCAACACTTGGGGTGCATGGGTGGTGCAGTCGATTAAGTCTGACTCTTGATCTTGGCTCAGGTCGTGGTCTCAGGGTCGTGAGATCGAGCGCCATGTTGGGCTCCATGCTCAGTGGGGAGTCTGCTCCAGATTCTCTCTCCCTGTCCCTCTGCCCCTCCTGCTCAAGCATGTTCTCTCTCTCAAATAAATAAGTCTTCAAACAGAAATGCCAACACGTAGCACCACACGAACTCCAAGAACCACTTGTGTCAGAGAGCTGGTGCTTCCTACAATTTGGTTGTACTTAGAGAATTCACTGGCTCTTAAATGTCTCCTCTGGAGGTTAAGAGCTCTGGCAGGAACTTTGTGTAGACCATATAAGATACAGCAAACACTTTTTTTTTTTTAAGATTTTATTTATTTATTTGACAGAGACACAGCGAGCGAGGAAACACAAGCAGGAGGAGTGGGAGAGGGAGAGGCAGGCCCCCCGCAGAGCAGGGAGCCCGATTGTGGGGCTAGATCCCAGGGCCCTGGGTCCACGACCTGAGCTGAAGGCAGATGCTTAACGACTGAGCAACCCAGGCGCCCCCAGCAAACACTTATTAGCACAAGAATAGTCTGCTGAGATCCTCCACATACAACAAATATTTATTGAGCAGCTGCTCTGTGCCCGGCACTGTTTTAGAAGCTGGGAATACAATCATGAGCAAGACAGAGAAGAATTCCTGCCCTTACTAAATTTATTATAGTTGAAGGAGACTGATACGTAAGATAAAATACATAGTATATGAGATAGTATAAATGCTAAGGGGAATAATAGAGCAGGAGATAAGAGGTGTGTGTGTGTGTAAGAGTTGTCATTTTAGGGAAGGCAAACAGGGAAGGCCTCCCTCAGAAGTAACATTTGAGTCCAGACTTTGAAGAGATAGGCAGTGAGTATGTGGATATGAACAAAGAACAGTGCCAGTGCAAAGGCCCTGAGGGAAGAAGGAGCACAAGCAGCAAGGAGGCTGCAACAGCTAGAGGGAGGAGAACAGGGAAAGAGGACCAGGATGATCCTCAGGACCTTGAGGTCAAATCAGGGAGACGAGAGGAGCCAGGTGTGCAAAGAGTGGGCAGGGATTCAGCAGTGAGAAGAGGTCAAATTCTGGGTATATTTGGGAAACCGAGCCAGTAGGATTTGTTGATGGAAATAATTAATAGAATCAAAGGACTTAATCATTATTAAATTAACAATAATAACTTCCAATCATAGAGTTGTATTTATTTTCAAGGCACTTTTCCATCTGTTTTTTTTTTTTTTTTTAAGATTTTATTTATTTGAGAGACAGAATGAGAGAGGGAGAGAGAGAGCATAAGAGGGGGGAGGGTCAGAGGGAGAAGCAGACTCCCCGCTGAGCAGGGAGCCCGATACAGAACTCCATCCTGGGACTCCAGGATCATGACCTGAGCCACCCAGGTGCCCTCCATCTGGTTTTTAGGAATAGACAGACACCAAATCAAAACAAGTTAAAAGGAGAATTTTTTAAAGGGAAAGGGATATCTCATTAAATCCTATTATAAAAAGTTTGGGCTTCATAGAGTCTAGTCCATTGCTGCCTAATAGAAATGCAATGGGAGCCACAGATATAATTTAAAATATCCTAGTATCCTCATTTTTGAAGTATTTTAAAAGATGAAAATTTTTATTATTTTGAAATTTAATCCAAAATATTCAAAATATTATTTTAACATGGAATCGATATTATAAAATCACTGAGTTACTTTTTCATTCTTTTCTTCATGCCAAATCTCAAAAATCTGGTGTGTACTTTACATGTAGAGTCCATCTCAGCTCGGACTAGCCACAATTCAAGTGTGCAGTAGCCACATGTGGCTGGTGGTTCCCATCTCAGACAGGCCACAACTAGATTCTAAGTCACCAGGCATCGCTTTTCTTTCTCTCTGGTATATCCCTAAACCACTGGGACTCTGCTTCTCTCCACTGGCCTGCTCCTTGCCCCTTCCCAGAAGCCAACTGCCTTCACTGACTTCCTGATTTCCCATTATGGCTGCTTGGATGGTGTTTCCCATGATGCTATACCTGACCTTCTGCCCCAGTACCCAATACTGTAACAGTCTGTGGGCAAGGGCCGCCTGCAGGAAAGACATGGGGGTGAGGAGGAAACAGTTGGCATCTTTAATGCTTTGTCTTGTGTCACAGCCATTGGCTGAAGCAGGTAGCATTTGAAGTCAAGAAAACAAACCAGCAGTTATTAAGGCTGAGGATCACACAGCTATTTGCAATGTATGGGTGGTGTTTTGGGGGAAAAACATTTTCCTTTACTCTTTCAGGTTCTTTTGGTTGGTCTAAGATTTAAATTGACAAGAGACAAATTAACAAATTTAATTATGTATGTGTGGGGGCTCACTATGGCCCGCCTTGCAGTCAGGCAATTGAGACTTATATGCCATCCAGACCCAAGAAGAGTGTAGGAAAGTGGGACTTCAAAAGGGAAGGAATGAAATTCATAGGATGATGAAAAAGAGTAAATGTTTGGTAAACAAATGTTAAATGGGCCATACAGAAACAATAAGAAGAATTTTAACAAACAGATTTTCCTAAATTCCTCCCTGTCTTCCACATCTCTTTCATATTATACTGTAGTTATCTACAGTGATACCTCCATTAGAGGATAGCAAGTCCTCTAAATTCTTTTAGGCAATTAGGGGAAAGGTCAAAGGCTCTTCCTGAGCCTTCTCTTTCTTAAAAATAATCAGCCTAAAATAATCCACTTACCACTACATTTTCCGGTGGTAGAATTTGCTTCCCTATAGTGTCCAATCCAGTCTCCTGAATCGTGAATCAGACCTCTTTCTACTTGTTATTCCCTCAAAAATATCCTTGAGTTCCAAGAGACCTTGGAGGTCACCTAGTCCAATTCAATACCCAGTGCAAGATTCCTCTGAAAACATCTCTGGCTAGGGCTTTTATGAGAACAAATTTCCCTCTCTGGACAAAGACGGTCACAAGCCTTAGAGCTGGGTAATGGGGCAGCACACTTCTGTGCTCTTCCTCTGGGCAAACCTAATTCTGCCCCAGGATCTTGCATGGCATGTAGAGCACAGGCTGATGAAAACCTGCTTGACTCCTCATCAGGGACCTTGGTGCAGCTCACAACCTGCACAACCATACCACTTTGGGTAACCACCTGGCTTAGGCTGAAATGATGTGGGTGACACGGAGCTTGCTGACCAGGCCACAATGATGCCAATTCAGTATTTTCCATCACTCCCTTCTGTCTTTCCTTTTTTTGTGCCTTCTCCCTCTTTTCAGTGGCCCTCAGATGGACAGAACTGAATTGGTTCATGATACACTCTCACCATGGGTCTATGCATGGCCTAATTCCATCTGGGTATTTAGTTCTTTTTAACAATGTGGTAAACATCTGTGAACCCACCACCCCAAATGAACCATCGCACCAGATGCCCCATATCCCATCTCCCTGCCCTGCCCCACTGGTGGGAACCATCAACCTGTTCATCATTACCTTGCTTTTTAGAAAAGAGTTTAAGTGCATTTATGTGTATTTTTTTAACCTTTTGACCACCTTTACCCCTTTTGCCCACTCCCCTGCCCCTTGCCTCTGTCAACCACCAACCTGTTTTCTGTATCTGTGAGTTTTTTTTGTTGTTGTTTTTTAGGTTCACATGTAAGTGAGATCATATGGTATTTGGCTTTCTTTGTCTAACCTATTTCATATATGTATTTCTAAAAAGCATATTTTTAATTTTTGTGGCTTAACTTTTTAAGATTTTATTTATTTGTCAGAGAGTGAGCACAAACAGGAGTGACAGGGAGAAGGAGAAGCAGGCTCCCTGCTGAGCAAGGAGCCCAATGTGGGACTCAATCCCAGGACCCTGGGATCATGACCTGAGCTGAAGGCAGTGGCTTAACCAACTGAGCCACCCAGGTGTCCCTGTGGCCTAACTTTTTAAAAAGGGGTATCATGTTATTTGTCATCTTTGGGTCTTTGTCCACTTAATATTGTACTAAGATTCATCTAGATTCATTCGACCATTGTGTAATATTTCACAATTTACTCATCTGCTGTCCTACTGCTGGGCATTTGTTTCCAGATTTTGCTGTTGTGAATATTCACGTGCATATTTCCTGCTGTGCACATGAAGATGCTTTTTTAGGCATGTATGTCCAGGGATGAACCTTGCAGGCTAAGGGGATGTGCAACTATGATATCTGGGGATGGGGCCAAACTATTTTCCAAAGTGGCTGCTCTAGGTTACCCTCCCACAAGCAATTCTGTGGATTCCAATGTTGTTTCCAAAACATTGACATTTTAAGATCCACTCCTCTAGCCAAAATCTTCATCCCTGAAACAAAGTCATTGGTGGAAATCCTGCACTTTTGATAATACTAAACTATGTAGGAGAATCTTCTAATATAGCAGCTGTTCAAATATTTGAACCAATTTTTTACATCTCCTTATCTTTCCTTCTCCACACTGAATATTCCTCAGCTCCCAAATTTTTACCTTCCTGCCCACTTGTTTCATTATGACTTCAATTTACCGATGTCTTCTTAAAAGGTAGGTAGCCCCAAGGGTACAACCCAGTGCCTTAGGAGCACTCAGATGATAGGGGCTCTTACTTTTATTGGGAGGGGGTGGGCTACTATTGGCTTTTATCCTTCCATGTTA